AAATTAAAGAGAGGCGCCGCAACTTTCAAGCAGAAACTATGTTCGGAGAGATGGATACTGTCGAGCACTGAGAGTGTTGAAAGTAAAATTGTAGTGTTAAAGAAAGAAGCGAGGAAACTGGTAATTCTCTCGAAGAAATTGCGTTCTGTATTACGACATCAGCTGTGAATATGTCTACTATGCACTATTTGTAAATCTCCCATATTCTTGGAAAATTGGCAATTTGTCCGGTTCGATTCTATATGGTGGATTCTACAAATGAAAGTGTTTTTATACCGAGTTGGGAGTTGTTCGTATTTGAGCACAGCACGAACTCAGCTGTCGTGTCCGCTCGGAACCCCACTAGCAGCCTTCTGTCGTCCGCGCATCCTACGCTCTGGATTCTGTCCCTCTTCACCCCTCACACTTTCAGATGCACCCCCGAATCACCTCGTGCATTGTCTCTCTTGCATCACATCTCGCGCCATCTCCGCCAAGCCGGGCCACTACACCTCCTTTAGCCCGAATCCACTCTCGTATTCACCCCCCTCTCGTATTCCCACGACCTCACCTGCCGTCGCCCGCCAACACTTTCCCACCAGTACGTAAGCGTTGTTGAATATAAACGTACACGCATTCTAATTTTGTCGAACTGTAATGTGAGCTAATGAAACTTAAGAGCTCAATTATAAATTGCTTTTTACTTAAATACTTTCTTCGTTGTCTGCATTGAACGTTTCTTCGTGATTTGTATAATTTTTTTTTACCTTGATTGTTACGTAGATCCATAATTTTAATTCAATACTTTAATAATCTGATTAAACGAATTGACTTTTGATCTCCTAGGAAGAGTTTGTATATTCGAGAGCTTTATTAAATTTCATTTTTGATATTAAAGCTCCCGAGCGGATAATCTCTGATCCAGCTATCAAAGGTCATTCGTTTAATAGGAGAATTAAAATATTAAATTAAAGTATTAAGCTACGTATAATTGGAGTAAATAAAATGAATTCAGTCACAAGATTTTTTTCCCTACGTTTTAATCGGAGTATAACATTCGTATTTTCCCCCGGCCGTTTCCGCGGCGTATTGCCCGTGTCTTCGCCGCCTGCACTCACCCTCTGCTCCACAGTGAGAGGGGGGGGCTCCCCGCCGGGGCGTCGCTCTCCACCGCTTGCGCCGCCCTTTACCTCCAGCCTTCCTCTCCGCACATTGTCTCAATCTCCGCCGCCCCCTCGGCGTCGGGCGCGCCGTCCAATCGCAGCCGCCGCATCCGGCGCCGCCTTCCGCTCCTCGCGGCCGCATCCGGCGCAGAGCGACGCCGCGCCACGCCAAGGCGGGGCGGGGAACGAGGCGTGGCGGCTGGACGAGGATCAATGCCACGGGTGGCGCGGAGCGGAAGAAAAGCTGGTCAGGCGGGGAGCGAGGCAGGCGTGAGGCGCGAAGGAGCGCGGGGCGGGCAGTGAGGAGCAGTGCCACGGTGAGCGTAGTGCGGAGAGAGAGAGAGGCAGGCGGCGAGCGCGCAGGGAGCGTGAGCGGGGAACGAGGCACGGGAGGGATCGCGGGCGGCAACGAGGAGCAGTGCCACGGTGTAGCGTGGTGCGAGAGAGAGAGAGAGAGAGAGAGAGAGAGGAGAGAAGAGAAGAGAGAGACAGGAGGAGAGATATGCGTGGGCGCGGAGTTGGGAGCGAGGCGCGGGTGAGACACAGGGCGGGAGCGATGTGGCGGTGGGGCTGGAGAGGGGGGAAGGGGCCGGTGGGGCGCAACTGGAAGGAGCGACGCCGCGCTGTACGATGGAGCTGGA